TGTTGTTCAGAGGTATGTGTGTATGTACGTTAAAGTACCACAACAGGGTGGGAAAACCACAAGCCACAGTCCTTTTAGTAGTTGCTGGCTGGGAAATGGAAAATGTTCATTGGTTTGCGTGTCAGGGAGTACATTTCTCCCTGTCTCTAATATATGTATACATTATTTAGTTTATGTGTGTGTATAACATAATACATATATCAAAAATTGGAAACAAACATGACAACATGTTCTAGTTGTTCATTGCAGGTGACTGTTGGATTATTATTCTATATTTTCTATATTTTTTAAATTTCTAAGACCAAAAAAAAAGTTTATGACTATTTCTCTCATCTCATCCAGTGCCTTCATTGTAAAGATATGCCAGCAGCAGCCCGCCTGGTTTGTAACGTGCACTCAGAAGACCACATTCACTAGACAATGTCTGCCTCCTGGCCACGCCCCATTGTTTCCACTTCAGTGTTCCTTTTTGTGGAAGGAATAGTTGAATATTCAGATTCTGTTAAGGTATTAGGAACTAGTTAGCAGCTGTCCATGTCCAGTAAAGCTCTGGTCTATAATTGGTCTCCTGAGCAAATTTATCAAGATGAATTAATAAACTGTAGTCTGGCTTTCAGAATTACTGGGCCTTATGCAATGAACTATATGGTCACTGCCTCTCAGTCATGGTCAGTCATGTGTCCCTCTTGAGTGCTGACCTTTCAAAGTCAGCTTTGAATGTTAGAAATTACTGCCTTTTGGGGTTTCCCCTCTGTAGCTTGTCTTGCTGTAATCAGGCATGATCAGTATTCATGTTTCAAAATGAATGTAATTTAAAATTAAACTGGATTTCAGCTACTCAGAACAGTTGCAAAAGGCCACAGCCTGGTAGACCACCCAGCTTTTACAGAACTGGCAGGGGATAATTAACAGGTTCTTCTGCCAGGAGAGATGTGACAGATCCAAATGTGAACTGTGCAGGTCCTTCCAGGCCTTTCAGATGGAGGCCAGCCCAGACTGGAGCCGATTATAGGTGCTTTGGACCAAACATGGATACATTCCCTCCCCTCCTTCAGCTTAGTAGCCCATGTTCCCCTTTGTCCTCACACTGAGTTAGGCCTGCCTTAGACGATGAAGCGCTTGCTCTGCCTCTGTCTTCCTAGCAATGGAAGGTGCTGTTGGCAGTAATGGGGTTGGAGAGCTCCCTGTGAAAGGCTGGGGTGACAGGCACAGTGAACTCTGAGCAGGGGTGGTGCTCTGTTCAACTCTCACCTAACCTCTTTCCAGGGAGGAACCAAGAAATGAGGTAAAAAGAAATGCTTCCCTGGCATCAGAGCTCCTGTGGCAGTCCATTGCTTATCTTGGCCTTTGTCTCAACTTGTATGTGGCTGTCTTCTCAGGTGAAATTCAGATTTGGAAGTACCGCCTCTAACTGTGCCTTTATATCACCTTTCAAATTAAGAGAACGAGTTGAGTGTGTTACCCACAGGCAAAGTAAGTGTCTCCATGTGTCGCCTCAGCTGGAAAACTGAGAGGAGGAGCTGCTTTGGGGGACGTGGGTGCTGCAGTGTTTGACTTTCAAATGGAAACACAGGCAGGTGGAGGGGCTGTGTTTCTTCTCAGGGAATTCTTCAGAAAGAAGGCCTTTGGGGATAAAGAGAGAAAACACTTGAATTCAGAACTGTTCTTCAGTTTCATTTTTGCAACCATTTACCTGTGTTCCCAATACTGAAAACTGGAGCTAATGCTTGACAAACTCATATGCCTAGATGAAGGTAAATTTTAAATCAGTTAAAAGTTTTCTGGTACAATAGAAGTGAAGGTCGGACATCACATGTTTTTCCCTTGGGTGATACTGTTTGAGAAAAAGCAAGGCTGAATCAAAGAGATCTTGATTTTGCTCCAGTTGGTGATATCATCACTCTTTTATCACTTGGACTGAATGAGTGTGATGTGGTCACCTGTACCTGGGGAGCTGCCCTCAGGCTTAGATGCTGTGAACTTCTCCTTTCATCAGCAGCAGAACGTGATGACCTGGATAAATAAATAATGACGACAGAGGTCAGCTCAGCATTTTGTACCAGTGTCATTACTGTTGTGGGCAGTGCCACTTTTGCAGCAATCTAAGTAGTGAACACTCATAGGTCCTGCCCACTGGGAGTTTTCCTGAGGTGTTAGATGCAGATTTTAATTCATTTACAGGGACTTAGGTGCCTTGAACAGTAAGATTAGGTGCCTTTCAGAGATGCCAGAAGCAGGTAGTATAGGAAATTGGATGACCTCCCCTCCCCCAGCCTTGGAAAGTTATCTACAGAATGTCTCAGTAGGGTCCTGGGAGTGTGTGTTTCTGTGTGTGTGTGTGTGTGTGTGAAGACCCAGCTATTTTGGGGCTAAATTCAGGATAAGATAACCCCATCTCAGCCTGTATTTTGTAAAGTCTGATTTTGCAATAATTAGGAATACTTAATGTTTAAAAGCTTCCTGTTTTATTGTTCAGAGATTCTAGAAAGTTCCAAGTCTGTTATCATTTTAATACTGTCTCTACCTTCTATAGATCCATACAGAGGTTAAAGAAGACACTTTTGGCTTTGATTGGTCATAGTGTTTGTTAATAAGATGTGCCTCTGATTATTAAAGGTTTTATGTAACACAACTACCAGTACCTTAAATACAGGAAACTGTTCAAATTCTGAGCAGTTTGTTTTTAACGTGTTTTAACTTGCTCATATAGTCATAGATGAAAAATCCTGTTTTTTCTTTAACTCTAAATTGTACTCATAATCATCCATTTTTAAAGACTATAAATCTTTACAGAGAGTAAGCAAATATAGGATAAATGTAACATAAACTTAAATATTTTTTATCTTTTATCTTTTCATATTTTCTATATTGACCAAATATATTCCATTTTCAGGTTTTATTTAGACATTTCTAAGCTTTTTTTTTGAATCACGTTTTTAAAATCAGTACTTCTCCATCCCTTTTTGGTAGACTTTAAATAACTGATACATTGTGAGAATGTTTTGTTTGTGGTTTGTTTTAAATCTAAATTGTTAGTTATTTGATTTGTGGTAGTCTATTAGTTATTCTATATATTTCTTAGGAAAACTAAATTTTTTTAAGTTTTCTTCGCTAAATAGTATTTTCTAAATTTTAGCTTAAGGTAAGTCAGCAAATTTTGCCTATATCCGTATTTAACCTATTCATTAGATTATTGTTACTCTTGATACACATTTCTTATTTGATTTACAAATGTAAATGTTAATAATTGACTCGAGAAAATCTTCATAAATGATTTAAATCAAATGTTAAATGTAAAAATAATACAAATAGCCAATTTTTTTTAGTGACACTTAACCCGTATTTCAGTTGATTTGCTCAAATTAACAAATAACTTTGCTGAGATTTTCAGGGCATAAATCTCTCACTTATAATCTCTTTTATTAACATCAGTATGTTGATGTATTTTAAATTCCTGTATTGAAAGGAGACATTAATGTGAATTAACACTAAATACATTATATAGTATCTTTTTAAAACAATCACACTGATTTAATGATTATGAATTTAATAGGTTCAATATGGTTCTTGATAGATGAGTTGATAATATCACAATATGCCTTCATAATTAAGTATCAAGGGTCTATTCTTATTCAACAACTTCTTGAAGGCTGAGTAAACATGATCTTAATTAAACTCACAGATAATGCTAGGGGATGTTGATTGCTCCAGTAAGGAAAATAAAATGATGCAGCCTGACCTTAAGATATTATTAATATGTGAATGTTGACAAATGATAATAAGCAGCAAACATCTTAAGAGAGAGGATTGGTTTCCAAGTTAATATTGCTGGAAGAAATTGGGTTTGGTTTTAAAACATATTATTTGAATATGTAGAAATGTTCTTTTCAACTGTTTTATACAAACTCTCAAATATGTCCACTCTACCTAATTCAGAAGTCAGGTGAAAATTCCTGTTTCAAAAACCTGCTATAACAAAGGTACACTCTGAGTTAAGAAGGCCTTACAATAAACCTTTAATGGTGGTTGAGGCTAACCCAAGTGTAGGAGGGTGGAGTCACAGTGCCCTGAACCTTGTTAGGTGAATTGAATGAGGTAACCTTTTAGGTAACCTTTTCTTATCCTTTTCTTACTACTGTACTATAATAGAGGCTGAAGTGACAATCTGTACTGAACAAAAGCAATTGAATATTAGATAATATCCACATCATCGTCAACCAGTTGTGCATTTATCTTATTCTTTGAGGTTTGTGAAAGTTACTCTGGAATCAAAATAGCCATTCTGTAACTTCCTACTAGCAGAAACAGAAATAAATAATTGACCTGTGCCCACATGTAGCAGTTTATTTCTATTCATTGAGTACCAGCATAAAAGCAGTAGGTAGTGTGCCTGTGAAAAAAGGCCTTGTTATTTTAATACAAACTGAAATTGGTTTTTATGATTCCAAAATATTTACCTTAATGAGGAATTTGTAATATGCAAGATGAAAAATGAAGGCATACTGAAATACCTAGACCTTAGGCATCGGCTGTTTTATTGACAAAAGGCACCAATAGGAAATTTGTCTAAATAATTAGATTTTTAATTAGTGCATCATTGTAAGATTAATGTCATTGCGCTTCATTGCACATAATTTTGTATTAGAAATTTCATGTCAACAAAGATGCTACCTGTGGTTTGCTGATTTGAGTCCTTCATTTATCACTTGTGTGTATGGCATGTCACATATTTGCAATAACTGAAGAAGGCATTTCATTATAGCTTCACTGGTGGTGAAGAATGTTGGTATAACACTCTTTGAATACATTATCTTTTCTAATACTCAAGAGGCAGACACCCCTCAAGTATTAGTGAGTGCATATTAACCTGCAAACATTTTAGGCATAGCATAAACAGATAGATTGTTGGATCTCTAGCCTATACCTGTGTTGAATATACCTGAACATTATTGATGTTAAATTCTCATTTTAACACAAGATTTTTATTTTCCTTTTGACAGTTGCCGAACAAGCAACCGGAAAAGCTTGATCGGCAATGGGCAGTCACCAGCGTTGCCTCGGCCACACTCACCTCTCTCTGCTCATGCAGGTAATTAATTACCCTATTTTGCATTTTGTTTTACTTCTGTTTGCCAGTTTTTAAAGTAATCCTGGTATGTGAAAATTGAGGTATGTCTTCATATCTTGTTATCTTGGAATTCTTGTGGCCTTATCACTAAGTTGTTCTTTCTGATAAGTTAGCCCAAACCTCCTCCTCTCTCTCAGAGTGTTTGGACTCTGAAATTGGGGATTTCTTTTTCTGTGGGGTTCCTTTTTCAATTACTTATTTCTCCATTTCTAAATTTGTGGGTGATGCAAGACATATTTCACATTAGAATTATCTTTGGGAAATGCAGACATGTTAATTCATACAAAAAGAGCTAATGTTAAAACTGATGGGGAGGAAGAATACCTTTTTCTAATGCTTCAGTGGGAGCCCTGGAACCAAAGACAGATTAACAAAGAAAAGCATACAGATTTAGTTAACACAACTTTTACATGACATGGGAGCCTTCATAAGAAATGAAGCCCCAAAGGGTTAAACCTGAGTGTTCTTATGCTAGGTTTGATGAAGAGTGGAAAGTCATGCCAAGCTGTCCTAGTACAAAGGTGAGCTAAGTGCCGTAAGCCGGGGAGAACGTGACAAGGCCTGTTTACTCAGATTCCTCCCTGTCCCTTCTCTTCAGAGATAAGGATGCTCCTCTCCTCTGGGTGTAGGGAGGGCGCCACTCATAAGAGGGTTTCATGACCTGCCTTAAGGGAAGGTCCAAAGTCCATCCTACACCTGCCATTTCTCAAATTCCTTTAGCTTAAAATATTCAGTATATCAAGATGCCATATTTTGGAGTCATGTGTTCTAAACTCCATCAGAACTTTAAAGCATTTTTCCCCCTTAAGTTGAACTCACCTATTACTTATATTAACTGTTGTAAACAGCACGATATGAGTAGTCTAGGACATGTCTTCTCTTTTGTGTGCACAAGAGTTTATCTGGTTTTACATGACAGTGGCATAGATAACTTACCTATTACATCCATAAACACTGTAGTGACAATGAAGATTCCATAGATGAGGCCCTTGGCCTCAGGTACTAACTGCAAGGAAGGTGAAGCTGCAATACCCAAACTGTGTGGTAAAGACTGCTCTGTGTGTCATGTGGTTGTTCTGTTCTGTTTTTTAAAGTTCTATCCAAGGTAGTGCAAAGAAGAAAAGGATTCATTCCAATCAGAAAAGTCTGGGAGAATTTGAATAAACCACTTGCTCAGGATGTTGAAAGATGGGCAAGACTTTGGCATGGAGAAGTGGGACAAGGAAAGGGACGTTCCCAGCGTGTGGCTAGAGTGTGGGATGTACGCGCATGACTGTAAGAGAACAGAAAGTTGGAAAGAGAGGTGCAAGTCAGGGAGTAGAAGGAATTTTTACTTTTGAGCTCCTTTCAAGGCCTTTGAGGAGGATCTGTGTTTTAAAGTGTTTTCAGGATTGTGAAGAATGATAGGTTGCAAGGATAAGCAATTAAAGCCCTACCTCCCTTGTACTTTTGTGAAAACTAATTTAACACTGATGGGCTTTCAGATTATGTCAAGTTTATATTTAAAAGTAGGTCTACGCAAGTAGTGACTCTATAGCATCTTACTACATTGATGGATGGTGACTGCAGTGGGTTGTGTGGGGCAGACTTGATAATATGGGTGGATGTTGTAACCACAATGTTGACCTTAATGAAAAAAAAAGGTAGGTCTGTGATTCCCCCAGAAATCAGTTGTTTTGCTGAGGGTGACTCTCAAGTTGAGAGTGGGCATTAATCTGTAACATGTTTGGGGACAAGGGAGAGACAGGTGATTGCCCCTTTGGAATGAAATTTTATTTTCCCCATAATAATGCATAAAAGATGGTAAAGGAAAAAGGAAAAAGATAAATAGGTAAAATTGATACTGTAGCAAGATACTGAAGTCCACAAACACACCCAGGTAAAGCTTTAGAGAAACTCTTGCACATACACATACATGAGAAGATGTATCCTAAACTGTTCATAGCAGCAGTGTTTGTAATAGCCGACCATTTGAAGCCACCAAAAAATCTATCAGTTGGAAAATGAATTGTGGCATTGTCATCCAGAGCACATTGTGCATACAGCAAGCCAGTGGATAGTACAGCTCAGAGATGCACGGATGAAGCTCAAAGACAGTGTTGGACAGCAAAACAAGAGGCAAAAGAATATTGCTTAACGCCATTCATATAAGGCTAACACAATGCTGCATACAATGTTTTGTTCAGGGATACGCACACACTTATATACATACACATGTATATAGGCACTTGTAGTAAGAGTCAAAAGGAAAACATGGTAATTTTAAAGACCAATTTCATGACCGTAGTTACCTCTGAGAAGATGTGAGTGGGTTATAATTGTGGAGAGGGGTAAACAGTTGGTAATATTATATTTTCAAAACTGCGTGATATGTACACAACTGTTTATATTCTTACCATTTATACTTTGATGATTTCTGTTACGTTGTTCTCATAATAGTAAAAGCTGACAGGATCATGCAAGGCCAAATACCTTACTCAGTGGCTGGGACTGTATATTTTTTTCATCTTTACATTCCTTCAGCACAATGCCCAGCAGTGTATACTAGGTGCTAAGCAAATGATGGATCCCACTTCTTACATATAATTCAGTAGTGGTTAAAAAGATGCAGGCTTACTCCTCGTTGCAGTGTTCTGTAGCAATTGCACCATACTATATGCTCCTGCTGATCAGTCTGTGATTGCTGTGATTTTCTTTAGTTTTCATACTGAGATAAGAGAAAATGTGATTAAGACTTTAATGATCCTTTTAATTATTTTTCTTTTCTCAGTATAGACTTAGCTAGAATTCTTTTCCCTTCAAACATAATTTTAATATCTGATCAGAGGAGTGGGCAGAGACAAACCTGTCTTTCAGGTTCTGAGAGTATTTGTCCTTACGTTACAGAGCCCACAGGTCACAGAGCCAACTAGGAAGCTATAGAAGTCAGTCAGGTGAGCAGTGACATTTATCACAGTCTGGTAGATTTCCATTTCTGTATCAGTAGAAAAAAATGTAAATTAAATAAAGAGCCAGTCCTCATGTCTTGATCGTGTGAAATGCCTCCTCACTCACCATGCCTCTGACTTCTTCCTTCCTATTACTGACTTCTCTGTCATATGTTTGATACCAGAATGCCAGGCAGGAGTTCCTAGATGTCTACCTGAAAGACAACAGAAAACAAAACTGACACCGTTCAGTGCTTATTGACCCCAAAAATAAAGTCACACTTTCTCTTTTTCTTATGTGGGGTAAGAATTATGTGAGTTGAGTTAGACCACTCAGCACTGACACATGAATTTATGCCCAAACAAATGAATCCGTAGAAATGGGAGCATTAATTTATTTGTTGGCTGTGTCAGTAGTGCTGTAGGATTCTGGAGCTTATCTCCACAAGCAAAACAGGGCCTGTTAAAAGCAGGGATCTCTTAAAGCACAGGAAACGAGACAGGCTATTTAAAATAGAAAAGGTAGAAAATTACAGGCTCCTAGTTCCAGGAAGATGCTATGCCCGAAATTTAATCCAGAAGCCCCAAAGGAAGTAGTGTGTCTCTCCTAAAATGAAAATTTCTATGTAATAAACAAAATCAAAAGAAAACAAAGTGTGAAAAATATTTTTATGCCCATAGCTGAGTAACATCTGATTGGCTTAGCTGAGCCTGCATAAATTGGTAAGAAAATGGTGACTATGCCAGGAGAAAAATGGGCAAAGGATGTAAATGGCGTTACACAGAAAAAAAAGACCAACAAAAACCTATGAAATGATTCATTGCAATCATATGAGAAATGTGAACCAGAATAATGAGCTGGTACTGTTCACCAGTACGTTGTCTAAAACTTCATGAAACTAATGGACTCCAGTGATAGCAGGCTGTGGGGTAGTCCCGTTCACAGGGTGTAAGTGTTGATATGAATTGAAACAACCTGTTTGGATAGCAGTTTGCAGTAGTGGTTAAAATTTCAATTTTAAACAATTGCATTTACCCTTTGGCCAGCAAATCCATCTCTAGGAATTTATCTTACTGATATTCTCTCAGAATATATGTCCCAACAGAAGATATGTGTAGCGTTGCTTGTAACTAGCAGATGGAAAGATAAATCGTTAACAGTTTATTATTTAATGTGTCCTTTAATAAGGGACTGGTTTAGTAGAAAATGATTCAGCCATATAATCCAGTACTGCGTGGTTGTTGTAAAGAATGAAGTGTGCTTTTATGTTCTAATATAGAAAGATGCCCAAGATAGATTATAAAGTAAAAAACACATTGTGTAATTTTATGTGTGTGTGTTTTAGTGTGCCTATGCACACTTGTGTATCTTCATGCATATTCATAAGAAGTATTTGGAGAGAGAAAGAAGAAATTTAGCAGTGTTGATCTTTGGGGAATAGCAAGGAGGGAAATTAGCATGTAGTGGCTTGATAATAAAATAAGGCTCTAAAAATAAAACCCATAAAAAAATGCCTCCATTAGTTTTCTATTGCTGTGTAACAAGTTACCCAAAAAATGAGTAGCTTAAGACATTACCCATTTATTAACCTTACAGTTCAATAGGGCAGAAATCCAGGTAGGCTTGACCTGTTTGAGCTTAGGGGACTTCAAGGTATCATAAGGCCAAAGTCAAAGAAAGTCATTATCTCCTAGTTCCCTGGGAACCCTCACCTAGTTTTTCTGCACAGGGTATCATAACCCCAAAATCAAAATGTCAGTTGGGCTGGGCTCTTATCTGGAGACTGGAAAGAATCTACTTCCATGCCTATGCAGGTTGTGGACAGATTCAGATCCTTGTCATTGTAGGACTAAAGTCCCCATTTCATTCTGGCTGTCAGCTGGAGGCTACTTCCAGCTTCTAGAGGCTGTCCTCCTCGGTGTTCATGGCCACCAGGACACACCCAGTCATTCTCAAGCCGCAGATCTCTAACTTGTCCTGCCGTCAGCTGCCGAAAATTCTTTGTTTTAAAGGGCTCATCTGATTGGGTCAGG